ACAAAATCAAGAAGAATGGAATTCTGTATATGCTGATTATCTTTTTTCTCCATTATTCTATCATTGTAGCTATGTATTCACTTTTTTACATTAATAGATGATCAGTTAAATTTTGCTACTGACAGGACAAAATTTTAACCAATTATTCATTAATTATGTGAAAAAAAATGATATTGTTCTTCTTTCATACTATAATATATTATTTACATATATAAATATCTTTATAATTTTTATAAGATTCAACATTTTAATAAAGAAGGTTAATATCTTATTATACTTTTTTGATATAAAGAATTATTATATTAATAAATAATTAAATATAAATTTATAAGATTTATAATCACAGATATAAACTAAAATTTAATAATATAATTATAGTTTATTAAAGTTATTGGAAATAAATATTTATATCTTACTAATTGAATAAGTAAAAATTTATTGTATTATTTTAAAAATAAAGCAAATAAAGTTATATGAAATGGATCAATTCCTTTTAACTATTTATAATTATATTTAATATCAATAAAATTTAATAGAAATAAAATATCTTAGGATGAATGAAATAAAATTAATAAGTAATTAATAATATTATTAATGAATATAATAATATTATCAAAGAAAAATACATAAGTTATTTAAAAGAATTATCTAAATTCTTAATGAAAGTAATTTTTATGATACAAAATCCAAAAAGTTATTTTTATTCATAATTCCTTTAAGGGAAATGACGGATATGGAAATTATAATAGAGGAAATGCTAACATTTATACTTAGGTTTAGAATGAGATCCAAGATTTTCATATTTATTTGCTAGCTCTTTATGATAAATATCACTTAAATAAAGATTTAATTCTTACTAATTTAAACGACAAGTAGCCGCTAGAAAATTGAAAAATAATATAAGTACTATGCATATTCAAAGTCAAATATACCTACATCAATAGATCAATAATTCAATTGTTGACGAAGACCACGAAGTTAAAAATAAAATATAGGGTGATATTTAATAATAATTATACAATAATTGTAAATATTTTATTAAAAAAAAAATAAATGTTATCCAAAAGTCAAATAATTAATATACAGTATATTACAAGGTGCTCCTTCAAAAGGCAAATAAAAGAAATTTTTTTTTTTACTGAGGAGGACCAATGCCAAATGAAACGAAAAAGGCGATGAATAGTAAGACTGATATACAATGCCATATTGAACCAGGAGAAGTTTTAACAAGTACAGCATATAAATTATCAAATATGGGTGGAACAACTATGCGAAGAAGTGAATCTATTACACTTATTCCACCTAATAATTGACCTATTTGAGTAGGGAATATTAAATTTGTCTGTAATGATTTTATCGCCGGAGTAGTTATTATACCTATGGCAGCTATAACGGTGACTATTAAATTTCAAATAGAGAGAGGTGATGATTTAAAAAGATGAAGAAAATAAATCGCGAAAAAGCAAAGTAAGTGAATCCGATTTTACCTCCGTTAAATAGCGAACCAGATTTTGCGAGACCATAAGCGACATGAGCCAATCCATCAATTAAAAATACTATTCTGATTACCCAAACTTCAAAGATCAATTCCTTTTTAAGCAGAGTTTCCTCACTTCTATCATCATCAATGGTGACTTGCTCTTCCGTATTATTTTTCATATTTTTTGAAAAGATGGATTTGAATTTAGATAATAACAAAAGTATTTGTTTCTTAAACCTTACTAATAGGGGATACAAGACAAATAAGACAAATACTTTTGTTCCACTCATTAAGAATATAAAATAACCTTGTTCTATCAAGGTCCATTTAAATACTAATGATGTATATAATACGGTCACTCCTGACATTGCCATTATAGAAGCAGATAATAAGGAGTATACAACTGCTAATAATGAGAATGAATATTTTGTAGCAGAAATAGGAACTTTATCGCTTTCAATATTTTGTTGTCGTCTACCATTCGGAAGGAACAATAATAGTGGTCTAAACATGCTATAAACTAATCCAAGGAAGGAATCAATCCATTTCATTCCCGTCCAATTAATTGAAAATAGTTCTTGTTGACGTTTTAGGTTCACAAACAATTTATCTTTTGATAAAGATTCAGGTAATATAAAAAGGTAAAATAAAACCAGCAAAATATATATTACAAGCGTCACATAATATACCGAAAGTAAATTATCCGTTGCTTTTATCAAATATCCACCTATCGTGGGTCCTGCTGAATATCCTGCGAACATGGCACCTTGTATCCATCCAAACATCACACTCCTATTTAGGTTTTTTTTTTAAAAAAAAAAAGAGGATAAATAAATTATAAAAAGAAAAGTAAAGGGTAATAATGCTGAAAATTACCTTCGTGTTGGATGAGTACAATCTGTAGCATATGCATAGCTTGCTTCAGCTAATGCATAAAAACCGCCAGTTACTCCATCTATAAATGACCCAATTAAATAGGTATATAATCCAACCTTATCATAAAAGTTACTGACTAATAACAAATTTAACGTGGTGAGAAAGGTTCCTACAGCCGATATCAATAAAGTTGATTTACGGCCCTTCCTATCTGATAATGTTCCGAGCGGTCCAAGAACAAATATAGCTTGATAAAATCAATAGGTTAGTTATAAGTAAAGTCATTTAGAGGTTTAGATTGACTTCGCTCCTTTTATAGAATCATTACCTGGAATGGCTGTAAATAAACTCGACTTTGCAAGATACTGAGCAACTTTGGCTTGCACATCAGCATTGATACACGCATCATCGAGATTTGATTTAAATGATAGAGGAACCTTTTCTGGATAGAGATCGTGACACACAGCCAATACATAAAGCTGGGTTCCAGCGGCAGCACTTAGTCCACTTGTCATCGCAATAACTATAAACATCGGTAGTAACCAGTAGGCGGAAGGTGTTTTATACCATGGTTTTTTATTTGAAGTATCCGATGATGTGGGGAGCACATGCTGTTCCATATCAATTTCATCAGAACTAGATTTAGCGGCCATTTTTAAAAGATAAAATTTTTCAGTTGGGAATAAGAAAAAATTGAACTATTTATGTCTTAAAGAAAACCTTTACCTTGAAAGAAGAACATATCTTGGGGAATTATTATTCTCCATTTAACGATAAATCTATTCTATAAAGGTTAGCTTTATCTATAAAAGTTATTATTAACTAAAGAAGAATTTGAAATTGTCAAACGGTTGAAACAAAATTTTGTAACTATAAATGATGAATATTTAGCTTATCAAATCGGATAAATATTTATCCATGTAATAAATAACAGGTTAATGAATGACCTAACTATCAATATGCCAACCGAAAAAATTCTGTAACATTTTCGACTTGTGATATGTCTTATTCGTTTGGAAAATCTACTACTAACTTGGGGAAAGAAATTGCTAGTTCTTTCATAAATCTTTTTTGTCCCTGAGGTGAATACATAATAGTCGATAATCGTCTTTATTAAGTTGCAAGTAATGATCAAGGGATCAAAAAGATGATCTCAAAACAATTAGTAGTCTTTGAGTTATCTGATAACCATATATGGACATATTGAAATATTGATGATTCAATCCTCATAAACCGAGAATATTAAAGAAGAACGCATGCATATAAAGGGAGGAAACCTTGCAGAAAAGAGCAAAACGCAAGAGGTTTATAAAAGAGAGATTACACGTGAAATATAATGAAATCTCAATAGATTAATTATACCTTGTCAAATGAAACGGTTAAAAAAAGAAAGAGATCAAGATCTTGGTCATGTTATTAGTCGAGTTAATCATTGCCAACTCGGAATATTGTTTTCATACTATGGAAAAATGGTTGATCCCAATAGAGTAGACGATAGATATTGTTCATGAAGATCACTAAATAATTTACCAAATGTGCGTTAAGGTTTGAACGTTATTCATTATTTCAATAAAATATCATTTTCATTTTTTTTTCTTTTTTGAGTGACAGCAGCAAAAGTAATTGCCGAATTTATGGATCCCAACGCGTATATAAGAGCTAAGAATATTGCAATCGTAAAAAATTAAATGAAACAGTTATAAATGTCTGGCTCTTTCAGGATAACATTATTTGGTCATATCACCGAGTATTGGTTAGATCCGGATATTCGTCTATCCGTGTTTATCTAATAAGTGAACAAAGAAATGGATAGTATAAACTTTAACGTATAAGTATAAATCCGGATAACGGTTTTATAATGCCGCAATAAATTTACCGAAACTGCGTCACAAAGTATTTATATAATAGAGCCAAAGTTAAAATTGATTTTTTTTTAAGTTCTCTTTTGCTGTCAAATATCTAAATATAGCATTAATGTTTTGAAAGCTTTTAATAAGGACGCATGTAATTTTATAAAATATATAAAAGATTTTAAAGTTTCCTATATACCATATAAAAAATAAGTTTTTGAATTATTGAATGTTTGGATAAATCAGTCGGTTCGAATATGATTTCTGATGTAATATTTATTGTAGAATAGAAAAAGAAGTCCTATATTTTTCTTATTCTATATTGTTTGTGCGTCATAATATGGAACTTTATTAGTAAAATTGTGTAAATGTTATATGTATACTATGATCAAGTAATCATTAATTCGTGATCCGTGATAGAAGTAGATCATTTAATAGTAAATTGCGGGGTTAATATTAATTTAAAAAAAATCTTTGTTTCAAAATCTCAATCTTTCCACTTGTAAAATTATGACAAAGCGTAATAAAGCAAAATCAACTCTTCTTTTTTGTGGTTCCCTTGTTTCTAATCAACACTATGGGCCATTTTCGCGAGATTGGTGGTATACTACCACAATTGAAAATGAAGTTTTGTTAGTTCCTATTCGTTTGGGAATGACTATTGCCGCTATTCTTAATGAGCAAAAGTTTATTTTACGCGTTGTTCAAGGTCATTCAAATCACTCAAAACAACCTGGTTATTGTTTCAAGCCGGAGTATTATCCAGTGATGTTGAAGAATCTTGTAGTGCTGCATTAACTTCTTTATCCCTTAAATGGTAATGATTTTCATTCAAATTTGGTCATGATTTTCAATCAGTTATTATGCAAAATTCTACATAAAAACTTACAATTTTTTTTATAAAATTTATTATAAATCTATTATTTTTAAATAAAATTTCATTTTAATAATTAAAATATTAATATATACAAAATTTTCAACTTTAAATTTATGATTTTTTTATAAATAAATAAATAATATTTAAATATATAAATAAATTTTGTTAATACTATATAAATAAATAAAAATTAAAAATTTTGCTTTTATAAAGAAAATACTTTTATTAAAATATTTTTAAAACTTTGAACTTAAATTAATGCAAAAAGTTACTAATTAATATATATATATATTTTGATTTTACTTAAAAATATCATAAATTTTATAAATTTTATTATAATAATATTATTAGTTTAATAATTAATTTTTAATATATTTAAAATTAACTTTAAAGTGTAAGTAAAATTACTATTGAAGGTATTTTTCAGAATAAAATGAAATTTTCAGGTTCGCAAGAGTTAGATTTTGATTATTAGATGAATTTTTGTTTTAATTATTTTATGTTTCAATTGATAAGTTTTGAATTGTTATATATTTATTAAAACAATAAAAGATTCTGATTTTGCATTATTATTTGTATATATGTATCGCAAAAAAAGATGTTTATTTGTGCAAATAATTAAGAAAACATTTGTAAAATTGAAATATATCATAAAATAATGCTTGTAGCACATTTGAAGAAGATACACCTATAGAAGTTTAAAAAAACAGGTATTTTACAAAAGTTAGATGGCTTCATTCTCTTTAGTTTAAAGGATGATTATACTAAAGAGAGATTAGAATCAAGAAAGCCAACCCACAAATTGAAAAGATGATAGTATAATAGATGTGTTATATTTATACTATTTGAAGAAATATATACAGTACTTGCTAACATTAATTGGCAGAGTATATTTCTAGAATGAGCTAAAAAAGCAAGCAAAATTATGGAAATTTGGTCAGCTCTTCAAAAAATTTATCCTAAAAATTATGTATTTAATGAGTGTGAAATAAGAGCATAAAAAGTATTTCTCAGAACTATATTATATACATATATTATACCATTTAAAATGACAAATTTAAGGTAATATATTTTATTAGTTTTAAAACTAAAAATATTTTATATTACCATATTCTCCTAAAATAAGCAACATCACATTTATTAATGTATTAAAAATAAGTAATATTTGAGGGTATTTCGATAAATATTTGTCTAAACATTATAAAATTTATACCATTTGATTTCTCATTAAGATAAATCCAATAAGGTAAATTATATCATTTTGTAACTACTAGATTACGAGATATTTTTAATTGAACTTTTGATATTAAAAAATAATATGTATCCAAAATTAAGCAATCTTATAACAAAAATATGTTGCTTATTTTTAGAGAAATCTGATAATCATTAAATATTTTCATTTAGTATAAATTTTGAATAAAAGAAATCAACCTCTTATGTGATTAAGAAACATTACATACTTTATTTAAAAATAACTTTTTGCGAACAACACCATTTTTTTGAACCATTTAATAACTTTACAGAATGATTAACTAATTATTTAATAGAATCATATAAAATAAATAAAAAAGGTGTCAAAGGTAAAAGAAGAATTTTATCTATTATTACAGATGAATTTTCATTAAAGAAACTAAATCAATAAAGATACAGACTTATATTTATCGCTTACTAATTATTTAGTTTTCCAAATAAAAGTCAGTATCATTTAAAGATACCTAACTAATAAGTAAAAAATTAATAGTTTTAGATATCATTCTGAACTATTTAAAAAGCAAGAACTTTGCATATATTAATGGGTCAGATTATCTTTTAATTGAAAAGTTAATTATACATTGTATCCAATTTTTTGAAGAAATAAAATTAATTTAAAAATTTTTTTTCAGATAAATCTATTGTTAATATAGTCTGGTGCAAAAATGTAGATACACCAATATATTTATAGTAAAAAAATAAAATTTTAAATTTAATATAAACATTTAAACATTTTTATTTATTATATAGGTTTTGAGAAATATTTTTAATATAAATTTTATTAAAATATAAAATTTCTATAAAAAATTTTATTAATCATCAATTTTTTCAATTTCAGAATTCTCATAATTACTTTCAGCCAATAACATATCATCACATGATTCTTTATATTCTATGGCTTTGTCAAGTGCTCTTTTCCAAAATTCAACAATAACTTTAGTGATAACCTTTTCATTGAAGGCATGCAACAATTTATTTCTAATAGCTAGAAGACTTGGGTGAGGACTGGACCTAGCAACCTCACCTTTAACAATTGATCAAACTCTTTCAATTGGTTGAAGTTCACAATGATAAGGCGGAGTATAAAATAAATTGTGACTATATTCTCTAGTTATCTTAACACACATAAAAGGTACATTTGCTTTATTTTGTTTTACCAACTCATATAATTCTGCTTTAGTAGAATTTTCTGAAACATTAATACCAGTTGAAGTTAACTAAGCAATTAATGCATTTTTTTTCGAGTTTAATGTTGGTACTTGTTCAACTCGACATTTATGATACTGAGCACCATCTATATAAATATTTACTGGCCTATAGCGTTCCTTAATATTAGCACAAAGTTTATCAAAAAGATCTTCAAAGATGTCAGCTGTAAAATTTCCATGATAATTAATATGGTCTGCTACAATGTTAGAATTTTGAATAATTTCAGGAATATTATCCCAGGCATCAGCATTTGTTCGTTTTCTCTCTCTTGATGAAGGTAGTTTTATTGATAGATCCCACATAAGAAGTGAATTAGGAATAACTTCACCATAAAGCTTATTAGTATTACCATTGCACATTACAATTATCGTTCTAAAAATAACAATTAAAGGACCACGCTGTAACAGTGTAAAATTTTGGCTAAAATCTGATTACAAATTCAATGTCAATTAAATGTCCTTGTTTA